CCGTAGATCAGACAGAAAATGGAAATATAGCTCTATAAATATACAATGAAAATTTCTGCCGTTGTGACTACTCGGGACCATTACTTTAATTCCTTATGTCCGCACATACATATGAATACAAACACAAAACTGATGAACATATCGTATTAATAAAGATGGGGATGTTATATGCATATATTTAGTAAGAGAACGCTGGCCAGTTACTATCCCTAATTTGTAAAGGCGCGAATGTGATTTGTGTCTATTCTGTGATTATGTCCTTCATGTGAAAGATAAAAGTTAGCCTGCTTTTATCGTAGCTGAAAAAGTCAACTTGAAGATCTTAGCAAAAACTAATTAGGAAAATTCAGTAAAGTCAACCATAGTCTTCCTGAAGGATCAACCCACGAATTAATAGGTCACGCAATATTAGCCTAAATAAAGATTAAAAAGCTATAGAAATAAATTGACCTCGTTGTCTCAAATTGGTCTTGTCAGGGGGACTTAGTAGAACGCACCTAGTCCGAAGTCGTTAGCGGTAGCAGTTGTCATGATTCCCAGCATCAGACAATGGACTTGGCACATTCTCAAACGTTTCACCTGCATCGTTTTCGGCATTATCAGTGAGTGCTGCAATTCTCCAAAGCGATAACCCTTCAGCTTCTAGTAAGTTCAACTCGCTTTTTCAAACGAATGTAGAGCTACTCCAACACCAATCTATTAAGAAGTTCTTAGAGAACCACTTTATCTATGTGGTTAGATGTATTTCTGGATGTGAGAAATAGGGATAACCTAATCAGTGGACAGTGAAGACACCCGGTATGCTCTGCGATTAGGACATATTCAGTATTTCATATTATTATTTCAATTTTACTTATTTTTATGCATGGCAGAGAACTCACATGCAGATGTGCAAAATACAATCGATGACAGCCGAGATAATTTAAGAGAAAAATAGCAATAAACGTAAAAATCAAGAGCCGAACTCACTTGACAAGCTTCGCTGCGTCCGAGCAACGCATCGCTTTTGCGAAGGTCTCTAGGAGGACCAAGGAGTTCTTTCCGATGATCTTATTAACATCACAGCAGCTCTTAGCGAGACGGGCCAGTGTTTCCTGAATAATCTGCCCAGAACCTTCGATGAACTTATGCTCGGACAACAGTTGATTAAGTTGATTTAGGCCCTCTTGTCGCTCTTTCCATGATTTGCCTACTAGAAGCTCTAAAGCATCACTGGAGGAGAGTGCATTGCTGTAGAGTAATAGAAAAAAAGATTTAAATAAACAGGGATGAAATACGCACATATAGAAACAATAGACAAATTAAGGAAAAAGATTAATATTGAAATGAAAATAAAATTACATTTTAGAGCATGTGTTAAAAAAAAGTAGATAAAGTGCGAGAACTGATTTCCCTACATATGAAAGTTGTTGATCTCGTATTGTATTGTCATGAGAAACTGGATGAATCCACTTTGATCGCAGTAGTAACGACATTCTCATACATCAGCCGTATTTTGTATACATTCCCGGATGAATCGCTGGCAGTCAGTGAGCATTTACAGTGACAGTATTCAGTTACAACTTGTCAAAAGTATAGGCAAAGTCCATCTAGTTGCTAACTTATCGCTAAATTGTTTCAATATTTATTTTTATGCAACCTGTATCATAATATCGAAACTTGTATTCGTTAACTATTCAGAGCTAATCCAGACATGTGTCTTCTTGATAGGATTTATAAAGATGAAACTACACTCCATATTAGCTTATATTCTACCAGCGTGGTGCAAAAATTGTTGATTAGACTAGATCCCTACGATTCGCAAGTTAATTATTCTCCTTTACGCCATTTTCGATGCGGTTGGCGCTGCCAAGCTGCTGGGAATTATGATAACTACAATAGCAAAGGACTTAGGATAGGGTGCGTCCAAATAAATCTTTCTGACAACACGACGAAGTTGCGAAAATAAGTAACGTTTTCGACGATTATATCTTACAATCTAGATTCATTAGATTCCATTCAGTAAAGATCTCGATGGCTACTCTAATCTTGCCTCTATTTTTCATCGTATGCGACAGTTGTTATTTTACTCGTTTTACATCGAGATACGAAAAAGATCGCAAGATCTCTACATTGTTATCATAGTGACTTGAATTAGACTAATCAATTAGCTAGATAAGAGTAATCGTATTCATCATACAAGCCGAAATCAGAATTATTAGGTTATGAAATTATATGGTTATATTATGAGCGCATTTGGGTATAAAAAATTAATAGTATGCATATATATATACATAAATAATTAATATGTACGTCGACGAATCGATCAGAACCAAATTAAAGCATGGAATTCGATCAAGGCTTTAAAAGTTTATTAAGAGAACCTTATAGATGCAATATTTCAATAAGATCCATCTGGTTGAAGTGACTATCATCAGATACAAGCTTATGCTCAAATGTGATAGGAATAATCAAATGTAAGTTAACTTTAAAACAAAAGTAAAGTTAAAGATAGAATTAATGTCAAAACTTTGGTCAATTCTTGAAACAAAACAATGAAGCCGGAATAGGAAGCCTATTTACACCCAAAGTAACAACGCCTGTTGCAATGGCTAACAAGTATTTGCTGAAGCGAAATTCCCATTATAAAATGTCTCGGGTCAATCTTTTATAAATTGCCGCATCTGTGCTAGTACTCATTAGCACCTATAGCAGAGTAGTGGAGTAGTAAACGTTCTCAATGATGCTCGAGACCCGGCCAGGAATGATGATAAAACCTAGGTCGGGTGAAAACCGCAATTCACGCTGGATGAGATGGGCTTTTGGAGGCAATGCTATGTATAATTAAATGGCATTGTTAGAAATACTAGTCAAAATGTGAAAAAACTATTAGTCCGTAAAATAAGAGGTATTCATTCTATTTTATTAACGATGATCTGCCCTTATTCAAAAATCCCTGACCACGAAACCTATTAAAATGTAAAATGGGTAACATCGTTAATTGCATTGACAAACACGAGTAGGGCCCTTGGGTAATAGGTTAGATGTAAATTTCGACTAAGGCTCGGCGTTTTGATCTTTTATATTCTTTAGTGGGATTCTCGATAAAGCAAAGTTATATTTGCCGTTACAATTGACCACAGTACTTATTTTTGGCTGATAAGACCTAGGCGAGGTCGAAACTGCAGTGAACTCTGTATGTGAACACCTTGTTGAAAAGCAAGGATATGTGAAATTCAATGGAAACGTGAGCTATACTCATATGCTTGTGGGAAAATTAAACTGCCAATACTACGTCTCCTTAAATGAAATATATGAATAAATTGTATATAACAGAGTTACTGGTAGTCTCAAAACTCTACATTTATGTTTTATGATAATTATATATACATTATATGCATAATTATCTCCAAATTCGAAACGTGGACGTGGTACATTCCCAGACGTTTCACCGGCATCGTCTGTGAGTTTTACCATTCCTAGAACTATATTACAACTCGTCAAAGAGATAAGTGAAGCAGATCCTTTGACCAAACGTGTGCTAAACATTTACGGTATCTCCCGTTCTGCCCTGACCCATTCACATTTACTATATCCTTCAATCACGCCTTTACTGTCACAATATTTTACTTGCTTAATTAAATGTGCCCTTTTTTAGCGGCTTTCATGAGAACTCTCCGCACTCCACGCTGGCCTTCTCACCGCCCTTTATCCT